TAAACGAAGAAACACTACGAGACTGCACCGAGTGCATGATTTCTTGCATCCGGTCTGCACTCGAAAATCCTAAGAAATCAACGATGGTTRGACGTGAATAAATTAGTTCAGTAATTCGTTCTTGCCAGGATTCGTGCAACCAAGAGCAGGAGGTATAATATTATGTTTCGGGCCTAGGCTGATGGTTTTTGTTGGGCTAGAATGTACATTTTGTGTTTACCTATGTCAGCTGTCTGCAGCGTGAATATCAAACTAAAAGCAATCAATAGATACGTGACCACAGGCATAGAATAACCGACGCCAATGTAAAATAATTATATAATATTATTGAACGGCGCCCGGCTAAAAGCAGCTAGGATGTAATAACTTTACCAATAAGTGCATTTTCAATCATGTAGAATGTTCCATTGCAATCATAAAACTAATTAACAGCATTATGCACTATAACATTTTTGGTTTTTATCATTGTTTACGTGTACTAAAAGCTATTTTTAATTAAAATTAAAATTACGTATTTTGATGCATGGAAAATGTTGAAATCGCTCTTTATGTCGAACAAGTTTGATGATACAATTATAATTGAATGTGTATCAATAAAATATATTTACATCTGTAATAATAATTATACTTCTCAATAAGTAGCTTAAACTCTATGTATAATCTTAAATACATTATTTTTTATTTTCATTAAGTAATAATTTACAGTTAAGACTAGTATAATTATTCAAAATTATTCATATTTGCTTAATTAGTATTCTAGCTGCAACCTTCACTAACATAGGTTGTAGTTAAATTATTGTAATAAGTATTACAATATTATGATCGGTTATTTATTGAATTTACGTAATTTATGTAATATTAAATTGTCAATTTAACGGCAATTGAAATAAACACAATTCAATGTAAATATAATCAGATACTTTTACTATATAGTTTCCGGATATTCTATATCGTATGCGTATTTTATAAGTCAAAAATAGCATAAATTACACAAGAACTCGATAAGACCCCTGTGGAACTTGAGTAAAATACTTTAACGATCCCGTGTGCATTTATGATATTTATATTTATAAATGAGACATCTATTATAATAATAATGATAATTTATTTCATAAACTTTAATTGTCATAATTGTTTTAATTATATGTACTGGTTTGATTTGTCTAAATATTAATAGGGTCGTTTGCGTTTAGTTGTATGTTTATTTGAATACAGAAAATATCATTAAAATATCGATTGGTTTTGGAGTCATATTCATGAAAATATATTTATTCTTTGGACTGATKTAATAACATCGCGTCTATATTGCTTATAAGCTTACTATGGTAAGTTTAAATATTATGATTAAAATAGTGTATTTCGTGCAGGAAAAAGTTTTTATCACTTATTATTTAATATATGATGATCATTTTGTTTTTAAAGTTACATATTATAAGTCATACTCATATAGCTAGTATAGATACATACTGCTCGCTCTAAGCACATAATATAATATATTATACGTCTGAAATGTTAATATAATGTTTGTTGTATCTTGTATATACATGAAACAGTCTCTGTTCCTTATCGTTTATAATGCTACAATGTTGAGTATAATATTAATGCCACGTGTTATGGAGTTGGCGAGGAAAATGGTTTAATACAATAATAATTCATATTTAAGATATTATGTCTCGATCTGAAATTTCAGTAAAACGAGTTTAATATTGTAGTTTGTAATATATTGTATTTTAGTGACATTATATAATTGTGATCTCTTCCTAAGCTCGAGGAGAGGGTTGACCCCTGGTGTGCCAAGAAAACGTCTCGGGAAGTGTCTAAAGTCACTGTGTCCCAATATTTTCGTATAAATTAATTAAAATACATCTATGGAAAACAATGTCACTGTTATTTACCATTTACGGTTTATAAAGGTGTACTTATACCGGTGCAGATATCAATACGACAAATCCTAATGATCTTATATAATAATAATAATAATCGTGACTTACCAGTGTGCATGCCGATACGCAATTTGAGTTGGTCGTCTGGTCTGTGCTTGATGGTGAAACTGTGAACGGCCGATCGCAGAGCGAGTGACATTCGGGCTATCTCGCGGGCGTGTAAGTTGCCGTTGCGAACCGGAAGTCCGGACACAACCATGTATGCGTCACCGATGGTCTCTACCTGTAATTGAAAAAAAAAATCCCCACAAAATACGATGACGATGTTTTCATAGTAAGTTAATTTTTTTTTTTAGCTTGCCTTGTATACGTCAAAATTCTCTATTATAGAATCGAAACACGTGTAAAGATCGTTAAGTAGATCTACCACTTGAAGCGGAGTGCTTTCGGCGCTCAGAGACGTGAAACCAACGATGTCACTGAAGTAAATTGTCACGTTGTCATAAGTTTCAGCCACCACAGATTGTCCCAAAATCAACTGACTAGCAACGGATCTATATGGTAAAAAAAGAAAAATCATAAAAATATTTTTTTGATTAACTAATTAATTGTAAATTAAAAAAAAAAAAAACACCATTAATTATTATTGGTATAATTCATATGAAATATTTTTTAACAAAATCTTTTGATTTCATCACTTTTTGGTTTAAAATACTAGTAAATCAATCCCAGTTAAGGTGCATTTTATTTTTGTAAATTAGCTTAAGCACTATTTTTTTTGCATTCAATGTGACTCACAGAAGTTCCGTTCTAAAATAACTATTCTAGCTATATTACTTCTTCACATTATAATAATGCTTTAACATTTGTTCATAGTCGTGATTTAAAAATTAACCGATACCTACGTAAATTATGTTTTAACAATAAAATGTATTTTGAAGAATGGAAAAATAGTTTTTTTAAATTTTTAATTATTTAATAGAATTATAAAAGTAAAGGCTTCAACTAACATGTCAGGAGTGTCATACATATTTTCCAATAGGCACAAATACCTATCTAATTTTAACTTGATTTGACTTTGCTTATTATGACTTCTAATAACTACATTATACAGGGAATCAATATATTTATGATTGMAACATCATAATAGTATTAAAAATGCACTTTGAGATCAATCATAACAATAAAAATAGTTTTAGTCTCATTATTATTAATAAAATCTAATGAATGAGGAACGGCGCCATAGTTTGACTAAAATAAAAATAAAATGCATGGCAGGCTGCACAAGAAATGAAATGAAATGAGAATATATGAAATAAAAAATCTTAGTGGAGTTAATTGCCAATATATATTGATATTTTAGGGTGACTGTGCACCAATAATATCTTGAATATATTTCTTATAGATATCTTTTACTAAGTATCTTGTTATGAGTGTATTTAAATATTTATACATTTTAAATTTTAACTGCTGTTTGGTAAAAAGCTTTAAATTATATCAATATATGCGAGAAAATAATAATGAAATGTACATATTCACAATAGTTGTATACATGTAAGTGCTATTATTAGTTAGTTAATGGTTTGCAATTCATTAAGCATAAAATATGTTTATTAATAATCATAATTGGGAATGTTGACCAAGAAATAATATGTTAAGATATAAACTCATAAAAATATATACATATATTATGTGCGAAAAAACGTATTATGTGCTTGTCAATAATTTGTAACCATAATGAATGGATTTGCAATAATTAAAATTCATAAATAATTTTTAATTGGAAAATAAAAAAAAAACTATTACGTTAAAAATTATTCAACATTTTTTATCGTCAATGTAGATCACGTGGAAAATCAAAATAAATTTAACTTAATCAACTTTTGGGATACTATTTAATGATAAATAATAATAGGATAACTCTTCATCGTGATAAAAGTAGACGAAGACAAATCAAAGCATGAATTGGTTTGGAATACTATCAAATTCGTACCTAGTGAAATATCGACGAATTTCAATTTGGTTAGGTTGGAACGAAATTTATATGTAATGTGGGTTAGGTTAAATATAAAAATTGTATATTAAACTAAAATAATAATAGTCAAAATTATTGCTATCAACAACTTTTTTTCGGATACAGATTCATATACATAGTATATTATTTATTGTATTTTTAGAGGAAATCAGAATTTTATTTATTATCCTGCACCTCTACGAACATTTTTTCAAGTATTCCATTTGTCCATAAAAACCAAAATAACGGATTCAATATTAAAATTGTTTAAGTCAATGGTTTTCATCGTTATGGCTTATTGAAGTATTTTTAAAAGTATATTTTTTTGTGCGCGTGCGTTATTGTTAAATCGAATATTTATGTCATTGTAAATTACAAATTTGATAAAAAGTGGCAAATAAAATAATATGTCACACAACGGCCAAATTTGTTAACAATTATAATATTTAGACCAATTTATATGTTTAGGTAGATTTTATTTTTTTCGACAATTGTCATTTGTTTCATACAATTAAAACATAAAACATATTAAAGGAATATAACACAATATGAGTACTAGACAGAATGATGATAAATACCGCAGGGTGTTAGGGTACCTATTCGTTTCGATTCGCATAATTCAGAGCAAGGCTGCAATGCGTATTGCATTGTAGCGTTTTATATTATTACATCTGAGACGAATGATAAATCGTCATCGCACTTGGAAAACGATTCGGAGCGAAAATTGGTTTAATGTTTACTATACATTATTTATGTCGTTTTTCAAATTTGAAGTGTTCATAAAAAATAAATTGGGAATAACGATTAAGGGGCTGATGTAAACCCCGAATAGCTTCTATACAATTATGAGTGCTACCCTGTCGGTGTCTTCAAAATGCAATTAATATAATGCTTACTCAATGTACTATACATTATATTAGTAAAAAGATGAGGTAAAAAATAAATGAAGAAAAAATATAATAATATGTAATCTCACAGATGTTCGCTGTTGGGTAAATAATAAGTTACATAATGTACAACCAGGAGTCTTATTACGATATTGTAATATTAAATTATAATTTGGTTTACGATATTATTATTTTGTATTTTGGATTTACGTAATGTATAAATGTATAGGTACCACGGTATCCGTAACAAAAACTTTCGGAATAACATGATATTGTTATAACTTTTGGGGCGGTTTGTTTAAGTTTCAACAGTAAATATCAATTTTAACAAAAGTTGTTGTGCAAAACGTAGGTATAGGTACGAAAAAGAAAATTTGTACACGCAGAATCTGATACTCGAATTCAAGAAACGTTTTTCTCATGTTCTTTGGCTCCATAAATCTAGTGTACAGTAAGTTACTTTTATGGAGGAGTGTCAACGATCCGCTCTATATATGTGTTTGTGTCGCATCGTCGAAAGTATTGACTTATTTTACGAATTTTAATTTTTATGTATCGACGAACACAATAGATTTATAAATGGTGAATTATTTATCAATAATGCCTCAACAGTTCGTTTTCGATTGACGAACTAATATAGTAATATGGTATAAGGTACACCGAGTTTTAAATCCTACATTGTTCTAACTCTATAGTAGTGTCAAATGTTAATTTTTTACAAACCATATAAACAATGCCAGTACCTACTTATAAGTTATATACGAAGTACGAGAAAAATTGAATAATAATAATTATATAATTATAGGTCTGTAATACAAAGTCATTTTAATTAAATCTCTTAGTATTGTCAAAATAATATTATCTGCACTTTTGATACTATCTATCTTTTCCCCAAGTTGAAATAATATTCCAAATCAATTGATTTCTTTAACGAAACACTACTTAACAGCATTTATTTACATGTAAATTCGAGCATTGTATACCAGGTCGATCAATTTAAATAAATAACTTTAATTCAAATTCTTTAAATGAACTATTCGTAACTCGTAAGAAATAAAAACGCTTTTACTTTTCAACATGGCGAAGTCACTTCAATAGATAATTTCTATATTGAAATTTTCGATTATAACTATTATTATGAATTTAACTGTAAAATCGTCGTTATTTTAATTTTTAAATATTTTTTCTATTGATTTGACAAAATAATAATAATACTAATTAAAATTAAAATACAAGGAGAAATAAAAATTTATGAACATTACGTATTAGCATATTATTATAACGAGAATTATTTATAATACCGCTATTATCATCATCATCATATTGTCCGTTTCGAACGCCGATGAGAAAATATTTTCTACACGAACGTTGCTCTGCACGGTGATTGATAGAAGTACTACTTATATTGCGATTTCGATTTTACATGGACAATCGCAACAGATCGTAATTTATTGTCTCAGTGTTTTTCGATTCACAATAAACGATTGTTGTAAGGATAAAAATACACCAAACCTAACCTAACCTTGGAGTTTACTGCCGCTAAGTCACATCGAGCTCTTTGTCCTGCGAATATTTTCAGTTCCACGTTGTTGCGAGGAAAACTCTTGTCTCGTTTATAATCATTTTCCTCGGACTTAAGAATAGACTTATTCGGACTTGGCGGAGGAAATGATCGCCAGACGGATACAGAATTTTTCCTTTATTTTTTTTTTGTTTTGTGTGCACGCGAATCGACTCGTCAAATCTCTGTTAGGTGGCCTCGTGATTCAGACTAACACCGAACTTCCGCAAATCCCACCACGCACGTCATCAATCATTTCGATACATCGTATAAAAGTTTCATTTTAAAAATCGTTTACGCGCACTATCCATCCCTAATAGTCACACATACCTGTATTATCGATAAAAATAAACAAATAATAATTTATATTATTATATCCTCGGGAGTTAATGACGTGCGAGAGATTAGCTCAATCCAACGACAGCACTCGATTACCATAGGCACGCAATGACAGCCTAAATATATATATATATTTTTTTATTTTGATTTGTATTTATTAACCATACGGGCTTGACAATCAACATTACATAAAAGCGATTACAGAAGACGTTATAAAAATTAATTAATAATAAAAAAGAATAATATTATTATACAATTACAATTACTATTATACCACATAATGATCCGAGTCACACGATCGCAAACACTACATTCTCCCACATTTTTCTTGTACTATATATGATTTATATATTATTGCTTAACCTAGTCGGTTTCTTCTTATGTCTGCTAAAAACTATACTGACTGATACTTAATACCCACTAAATATTATTCCACACACGTTTACTTAACCTAGTCAATATTTTTAATATTAATAATTTTTTATGATTATGCATGCACATAACATCAGGGTCTGCATTGGCACACGACATTATATAGACGTCTTTAAAGGCACATTTGCCATATAGACATATAGTTGGTGGTGAAATGCAGAACATAGAAGAGGGCGTTGGAACGAGATGATCGAGAAGGAACTTTGAAGCAGATTAGAGAGAGAAGGACCAATATTATTGTATAAAAGACCGGTAAGAAATTTCATTCCCCCGATTTGATATTGTGTTATTTTTGCACTCGCCAAAGGTTAGTGGACGTCGAACATCGGAGTGATTGTAGATGAATCGTTTGATACATAATATCATATTAAATATTCATTTATATTTGACAACCGACGATGAGTTCAATCGATACACGTTTAACAGTTTGTATAAAATACGCGTTAAAATTAATATGGACTGTACAGAAGACACGTCTTAGGAATGATATAATATGATATGATTGATGTGTATTCATGGGCCTACAATTTAAACATCTCAAACGTTTTATAATATTATTGTTGGGCGATTTGCAAAACGGATTATAGAAATATATTTTGACCGGGAAAATAAATGTTACGGGAAACGCGAATGCTGCAGATATTCTGAAGGTCACTCTGTACAGATAGTAAGGCTGCAGGGGCATAACCTTAGTCGTTAATATTAATAATGTTAATATTATTTCACGCAATTGCTTTACTTTTGTGTGTTATATACTAGCCATGGTGATGATCACATTATTCGTGCGACAATCGACCGCGACATGTCTATTCAACTCATATTAGTTATTAGGCACTTATTTTTTATTGATCATTAAACATCGAGACTCCCAGTGCTTTTAGTATATATTTTTATATTATATGTACTCGTTGTATTTTTTTTCAAACATGTTTACATTATTTTCGTCCATCGTTATATGAATCAGGTTTTTATTTTTCAAAAATAATTTGGTATTTTTTTATGTTGCTATTGCTGGTCTTGGAGACCCAGAGTTGAGTACACTTTTTTTATGACGTCTGCTATGTTGTCGCTCGTGTATTATCTTGTATTGAGTTAGGATGTGTTTTACTATCGTGTATAAATATTACAACTCAGTGTTTGCTGTTATATCGATACAAATGTTTTCCTCTTTCACGGTTTTTATTTGTTTTTGTAATTTTAAAATTTTCATCAGTACGTACTACATATATTATTATGTATTCTCGTTTCTCCATTCGATTTGTAATACAGACGAGCATTCGATAATTTCYGGAAACAATGTTGAAAACTATGGATGAACCGATGAAGTTAGTGATGGTCACTAACGAATACTGCAACTAATAAGTAACGTGTAAGTTCTGTTCGTAGTCTGTTCAAAAGTCAATACATTAATATGTCGATATCGCAGTTAAAATAATTATGACATGTTCTGAGATAAAAATAACAAAATCATCAGTAAACTGCCAGATAGTCGGATAATATGACCCAAAAATTCGATATTGAACTTAATATAGGCGATCAACCCATTAAAGTAAAACGAGCTCAACTCCAAATTTAAAAAATACAAAAAYCGTTTATGACTGTGATGATTTTGTCTTAATAATTTACTGTCTACATTTCTTGCATCAGATTTATTAATAAACTTAGTTACTACAATATTATGCCATTGGCGAAAAGTGATTTTATAAAAAATATTAAATTATTGATCTCAATTGGTATGTAAAAGCATTTATAATCTAAATAATATGTTAAATCTGCAGTACCGCATGATAATCTGAATTTAAAGAGAGAAAATGATACCATGATTGCGTTTTACGACAATATATTTGACAATTAATTAGATATGATTTTTTTCGATTAATATTCGCGACCAAATTCGGATTTAGTTACTGTATTTCCGACGCCATGTTTGTTAAAAAATTATCCAAGATAAATTGAATGTTTTTATCGTCTTAAAAAAAAAAAATTAAAAAAAAAACTTAATGGGATATTTAATATATCATCATAAATTATTCTCGCGAGTTAATTTGGCGTGATATATAAAAATCTGAAATACGCAAATACGACAAAGTGAATAATAATGTTATAATGAGTGTATGTTACCGTTTGATTATAAATTAAATATATTTAGTACATTTTACTTTGGAAATTGTGTGGATTAATAGTTTCATAAAAAGGAATATAATAATGTTAAGTACAAATGTGTAATTTGTTTTTTGTCTTGCAGAGTAGGTATACGATTTATTTTGCATTCGTTATCATTAAAAATTATTACTAGGTACACGGCGCTTTTAAATTTAATTTTAAMGATAAATAAAAATAATAATAAAATCCKTCGTAATAACATCAGATCGTTAAGTTGAAGGGAGAGAAAAACTCGATCAACGCGGTAGTAATATAGACGCTATAATAAATAATTTTTGAACATTTTAAATCGACATTTACAAATGATAAATGAAGCTGTTACGAACTTATACGTGTCAAGCAGTTTTTCATCGTCCCGTTTTGAGCGTGGACTTATATCCGGTAAACACAACGGCACCGAATGGCCGCTCCGACTCTTTATTTAGGTTTTTTAATTATTTCGAGGAATTTWTATTACTTTTTAGAGCTAAAAAATTCCTTCATTCTCTTCTTATACACCGTACCGAATAAGTTAGTTTGAATCACGGTTATAGACAGACATATAATTACCTATACGATTAATTATTTGAGTTATTAGCCATCAAAGGTTATAAATTTATAATTAATTATTAACTTGACTCGAATCAACTTTACCTACTAATTACTGTTTCGGGGATAGGTTATTATAACATATTGTGATATATTAGAGAACCATTATTTATYAAACATTTTAGCTATAAAAGTTATGGCAATGTCGGTATRGGTACTGTAATATAATGCTGTTGTGTTAGACTATGGCAGCTTTMAGGCGAAACTTGTATCATATTATATTATATAGTTATTAGTTAAATTACTCTCCTCGTGCAGGTCTATATCACATTGATTGAGCTGCCTATAGCGGTTGTTTTGCCAAGCTATCAGTTTTGTTCGATATCTCAGTGTTTTGAGAAMAAAATTGCTACTAACCTTATGAATCTTAAATGAAAATCATACGTTATTTAATGGGTACTATGTAAATTATTTATTATTTTTTACTGCTTTTGTATAACAATAATTTATTCACACTATAATAGTTTAATAAAATACAACTTTTGTTTAAATTTAAAAAAAATATAATTTTCGTTTAACAAATATTGGAGTTTTAATATAAAGTTTATATTTTCATACATAATGTATTGCTAAATGGATACCATAAACCATTTTAGGTGGATGTTTAAACACCTTTAAAAAAAAAAAAAAAAAAA